AGTTTATAATTTCATTTGGATTTGCTACAAACGATGAAAAATCAATTATTTAGGTGTTTTTTTATGTTGAATATCAGGAAAATGTCAGGCTTTTAAATGTTGTAAAATCACCCATAAGTTTAAGGTGTTTTAGTCTTTAATAATTTAAGTTATACATTCAAAAAACATAAGGAAGTTATTACCAACATCTCACTCTGCTTTATAGCTTTGTATTGACATTGATTTGATGTGTTTTATTGTGCACAGCTGGGGATGTTAAGGGTCACATTAATTATAAATTAAATAATTTACTGTTCTGTAGTTTAAGCAATTGTCATTTGTAACATCACTAGTCTTTCCTGTGACATGCACCTTTTATCTTTTATTTATATATATATATATATATATATATATATATATATATATATATATATATATATATATATATATATATATATATATAAATAACTGTTTTCTCACCCCAAGTGGGGTGGTATGTGTCATCCTCAAGCTCGGGTCCTCTACCAGAGGCCTGGGAGTTTGAGGGTTCTGCGCAGAATCTTAGCTGTTCCTAGGACTGCGCTCTTCTGGACAGAGACCTCTGATGTTTTACCTGGAATCTGCTGTAGCCACTCTCCCAGTTTGGGGGTCACAGCCCCCAGTGCTCCAATTACCACTGGCACCACTGCTGCTCTCACTTTATATATATATATATATATATATATATATATATATATATATATATATATATATATATATATATATATATATATATATATATATTTTCACACATGGAAACCTTTTATGAGCTGTATGTATTTTTCTACTCCACTGATGTCATGAGAAGCACTGAGAAGGAAGGGAAGCTGGATGAATTTTGCCAGAGACTTGAGCAGACGATGGATGACATTGATGCAGAGGATATGAAACTTGAGGTAAAGGGAGCAGTTAGATCCTTCCCCATACATATCTCATCACCATCTGAGATGCTTGATTATATCTATAAGGAGAATATCCTAGACCTTTATCCAAATATGAGTATAGCTCTCAGACTTCTGCTCACTCTACCTGTGACAGTCTCTTCAGGTGAGAGAAGTTTCTCAAAGCTGAAGCTAATTAAAACATATCTAAGGTCAACAATGTCACAGGAAAGGCTGTCTGCACTCGCTGTTCTCTCCATTGAGCAAGAAGTCAGGAAGTCAGTGGATATGGATCTTCTCATTGCAAGATTTGCTGAGGCCAAGGCTCGAAAAATTAAATTTTAGGGAGAAAGAGAATACAACTAGGGGACAGGAAGAGAAAAGGGGGAAACAAGGAGGAATATGAGTAAAAGAAACAAAAGAATAAGAAAGACAAGGACAAAAGGGAGATAAATTCAGACTGAGAAAAAGACAGGAAGAGAATAAAACAAAAGAAAAAAAGAGTAAAATGAAACAGACATGAAAAAAGGACAGGAAGAGAGGGATAAAAGGTAAAACAATGCATGTTTATTCTCTTAAAATGTCAATTTGTATAATTGACCTGTTGTTTTCTCATTTCAGATGGCCCCGTGCCGGCCTTTGCCTAGACTACTACAGAAAGGGACAAAAAAACACAGAAGACAACCATAACAAAAAGTATAAGAAGAGAGGGACAAAAGGTAGAACAAATAATCTAAGTCTATTCTATTATAATTTCTGTATCTGTATACTGGGTCTGTTCTATATGTTGTCTTCTCAATTCAGAGGGCCCCATGCCTGTCTTTGCCTAGGGCCCCAAATTTCCTAAGTCCGCCCCTGACTGAACTCAAGTTACATATATAAATAAAACTTTTGGTAAGAAGATTGGTTCACTGTCTTGTAGGTTTTCTGTTATATGCCAAGTGATAAACAGCATTTTACCAGCATTTTAGCATTTTACATAATAACACGTTCATTTATTGCTGACTTACCTGGTAATAACGGTTTGACTAAGAAGTCTGACTTTACCTTGTCATTTGAAGCACAACACTTACCAAAACTCTCTATAAAGTGTTTCTTGTTACCTTGCAATAGAGCGTAACTGGCTAAGTTATTACCATGTTATTACATAGTTATTGTTGTACTGTAAATAAAAGCGTTAGGGATAAATCACACTTCTGTTTGATTTATCTGGCAGTTTTTCTGCCGCTGAAACATGTTTACATAAGCAACTAAAAAGTTTATAAAGTAAAAGCCATTCCCCTACATTTTTTATGAGCCAGCAGAAAGAGAAGAATGAATATTTAACATTTTGGGATTCACAAAGCTTCTGGTTGACTGCTTCTTTCAAGCAGTCATGACTAGCAGCTAAAAGATGAGTCGTCTAGAATAATCTAGCATTCATTTGTTTTATTATTTACACATGCTTCACATACCACTGAATGTAACACATGTCTATAGGGGACAAAAAGATGCTGTTGTTAATGGTGTTCTGCCATTTTCCACAGCCACACAGGTCAATGAGTGCAAACCTGTGCTGCACACAAAGTCTCTCTGTTGAAACAGGAACTACTGACCGCAGCTAAAACTCTTTTGAATTTGAAAAAAGGCTAGCATCATGACAGTCAGAAGTTTAAATATAGATCATTTGATTGATTAATGGATCCATTGATTGAGTCTGAGGCCAAATTGCTGGACTGGAGGTTACTGTTGGGTAAAAAAGTATTCAGTAAGCCAGTGATTGTGTAAGTTCTCCTACTTAGAAAGATAATAGAGGGTCTTTAATGTTTATCATAGGTAGACTTCAGCTGGGAAAGACAAAATGAGAAAAAAACTCCAGGTAATCATATTGAATTTTTAAGATTTTTTTTATGGTCATGGTGGAAAATAAGTAGTTTATCAATAACCAAAGTGCAACTGAGTACTTGGTAGCAAAACCTATCAATGCAAAGAAACAGGTCAAACGTTTCCTGCAAGTCTTTAACAGGTTGTCACTCAGTAGCTGGTATTTTGGCCCATTCCTCCATCACATCTCCTCTAGAGCCGGGATGTTTTAGGGCTGTCACTGTTACCAGTTGTGTTTATTGTAGATTCACTCTTCAAAGCCTGATGTCGGGGTACAATTTTCTTCCTAATCTTTTTGGTCTTGGCTGTGGTTGAGTTTGGAGTTTGAAGCAGTGGACGGGTGTCTTTAATACAGATAACTATTTCAAACAGGTGCCACTACGACAGGTAAAGTGGAGGACATAAGAGATTCCTTAATAAGAAGTTACGAGTCAGTAAGGGCCAAACATCTTGCTTCTTTGTGGGTGACAAAATACTAATTTTCCTCCATATTTAACATATAAATTATTTAAAGCCACCAGGAAACGGCTGTTCAAACTGTTGCATTTCTCCCAAGTGGTGCACAACTTTACACTAGTGAATAAATAAAGTGAATGTGATTGGTCGTTTAACAAGAGGGCGGGGTTGTTGTGATGGAAGGTTCGCAAGCTTTTTTGATTGTGGCCTGTGTATCGTAAGCAGCTTGCTAACCAGTTAGCAACTTAGTGATAGTAGGTTCCCAATGGGAAATAGCACTTAGAAACGACACTGTCAAGGAACACTATGGACAGAAGACAACATGCAAGAGGAGGACAGTTTTGTGTCGGAGGTTATGCATGAGTGTCCTTCGTCATACATTTTTAATTTAGAGGAGGAAAGCGGGGACGAAGATGTTGTGGAAGAGGACGCCAGGGTGGCAGAAGCTTCGTTTGGTGTAGAAGGCTTACAGCCGTACATGTTTGAGCCCTTGCCTCGCAACGCTGCCAGTTCTGTTAGTTCTACGCCTGACAAAGACACAGACGACCATCCCTCTGAACACTGGGAGGGAACTCAATGGTAAAGTAAATGATTCTTATTTCTCATTTCAACCGTTGCGTATTTTAGCTGCCACATACGAATCAAGATGCTATGACTGAAACTATTTGATTGACAGATGACCGTTGATATATGATTGGCCGAATTTAGGTGTTCAGGCTGACGTATAACTAACTGGCCTGCATAAGATAACGAGAAAACCACAGATTTTAAGACAGGGTTTTTTTTTTTTTTATAGAAATTTTCTAAATTACGGGAACATATGATTTGACATTTAAGTATGATTTCCCTACGACTTTAAAAATCCTACCAATTGATTTCCTTGATCTTGTTTCCCTTTATTCTTATTCTTATTCTTTTGTTTCTCGTAGTTAAAGAAGCCCTTTGATGAAAATTACAGACCTCTCCCATCTTTCCAACTAGGAGAACTTGCAAAATCAGAGGCTGGGTAAATATTCTTCACCCCACTGCATTAAGTGAAATCAAAGTAAAGGGGGCTGAAACCCCCATTTAGATTTTTACTGAGAATTGTTGAATGACATAAAACACAAATTCAACACATGCACATGCAATTTTAAGCTGTAAAATAATAAAAAGTTAGAAGGATAAGCATATATTTGTAGGCTGATGTATCTCTGCACACATTAACTCTAATCGGTACTTGTCATATGGTTTATATTAGCCTCACATTTCCGTTAACGGTGATTAATGTCCAAGGAGATGCAAAGAAAAGGTAAATCAGTGTGCAATTTCTTTCTCAGCAGCATTGGGAGAAAATCAGCAGGACCAAAGTGCATTGGCTGCTGCGTCATGGGAACAGAGATAAGGAAAAGTGAGAAGGTCAACAGGATTACAGCTTCTTGACCAACACAAAATGCCGCACCAGTCTTAAAGGTCCCACACACATAAGCAGGACACAGGAATCTGAAATCTGGCTTACAAAAGGAACGTTTAAAGGAGATCTTTGAACAGACTGGGAGACAGAAGAGTCTGAACTAGTTAAAGGACTCAAGCTTGGTCGAAAAACTGCCTGAATGGACGATGATGGGAAAGGGACATACAAAGGATTTCACAAGAAGAAATTCCTGCTTTCAGCGGAATTACTGGAAAATCAATACAAAAAGGTAGAGAGTTTAACAAGACACATATGCTAACATGGAGTTGTGGGAGCTGACCAAAGGTTACCTTCAGACAGATAGCAGAGATATGAGTCGATTAACATACCTGGTGAACGCTTGCAGCAGCTGTGACACCATCGAGGACAGTCTGTGCAAACAGGCCACAGCATCCTGCGGAGGCGGAGGACGTCCCATTGGCGAAGTACCCTGCATGGTGCTAGGGTCAAAGCTGAGCGCTTTGAAAACTTCCAGACTGAAACGTGACAGAAACAAATGACCTTTTAGGTCAGTGGAATGGAAAAAAAACAAAGAGCATATCAAAATAATCAGGGTTGTGTTTTGCAGCTTAAGATCATATTGACCTCATTCCAGATCCTCTGAATCATAGCTTTAGGTATTTAATGCTAAGACACAAAAACTGTAAAATAACATTACTTTTGAAATCATAAGATGCAAACGTTAAATTTAATATGAATTTTCCCTAATGGACACAAACTAAACTCTATGTCATAGTTGTCTGCAGGATCTGGTCAGGTAAGTAGCAGAGGGGGTTGTTAATCAGTTTCAGCTGCTTTGGTGTTAATGAAATTAACAACAGGTGCACTAGAGGGGCAACAACAAGACAACCATCAAAACAGGAATGGTTTTACAGGTAGAGACCACTGACATTTTTTCCCCTCCTCATCTTTTCTAAATCTTTTTCACCAGTTTTGCATTTGGCTAGGGTCACTGTCACTACTGTTAGCATGAGGCGCTACCTGGACCCTACAGAGGTTGCACAGGCAGTCAAACTCCTCCAGGATGGCACATCAATATGTGCCATTTCCAGAAGGTTTGCTGTGTCTCCCAGCACAATCTCAAGAGCATGGAGGAGATTCCAGGAGACAGACAGTTACTCCAGGAGAGCTGGACAGGGCCGTAGAAGGTCTACAACCCAACAGCAGGACCGGTATATGCTCCTTTGTGCAAGGAGGAGCAGGAGGAGCACTGCCAGAGCCCTACAAAATGACCTCCAGCAGGCCACTGGTGTAAGTGTCTCTGACCAAACAATCAGAAACAGATTTCACGAGGGTGGCCTGAAGGCCCGACGTCCTCTATTGGGTCCTGTGCTCACTGCCCGGCACCGTAAAGCTCGATTGTCATTTGCCAAAGAACACCGGAATTGGCAAGTCCGCCACTGGCGCCCCGTGCTTTTCACAGATGAGAGCAGGTTCACCCTGAGCACATGTGACAGATTTGAAAGGGTCTGGAGAAGCCATGGAGAACATTATGCTGCCTGTAACATCGTTCAGCATGACCGGTTTGGTGGTGGGTCAGTGATGGTCTGGGGAGGCATATCCATATCCAGACCTATACAAGTTAGACAACGGCACCCTGACTGCCAATAGCGATCGGGATGAAATCCTTGCACCCATTGTCAGACCCTATGCTGGTGCAGTGGGTCTTGGGCTCCTCCTGATGCACGACAATTCCCGGCCTCATGTGGCGAGAGTATGCAGGCAGTTCCTGGAGGATGAATGAAGACGTTCACATGAACCAAATCCAATAGAACACCTCTGGGACATTATGTTTCGATCCATCAGATGCCGCCATGTTGCACCTCAGACTGTCTAGGAGCTCAGTGATGTCCTGGTCCAGATCTGAGAGGAGATACCCCAGGACGCTATCCGTCGTCTCATTAGGAGCATGCCCCGACGTTGTCAGGCATGCATACATGCACGTGGGGGCCATACAAATTACTGAATACATTTTTGAGTTGCTGCAATGGAATTTCAGCAAAATGGACTAGCCTGCCACATCATTTTTTCACTGCAATTTTTGGGGTGTCTTTGAATTCAGCCTTCTGTAGGTTGATAAATTTCATTTGATGTGGCATCCTTTTGTTCCTAACACATCACCCAGTCCATATCAGTATAAATAAACAGCATGATTTTTTTGGCCCAATTGAGGTCTTCAAAGTGTTCCTATAATTTTTTTGAGCGGTGCAATAGCAGTGTTGCCTTGCAGGGGGAAGGCACAGGTTCCAAGTCTGGGCCAAGAGTTTGTACCTTCTCTCTATGCATGCATGAGTTCTCTTTAGGTATTTCACTTCCTTCCAGTCCACAAAACTTTAATGTTAGGTAATGTGGCTTCTGGTAAGTGTGTGCATGGCTGTGCGTTCCTCTGTGGTTCCCTATGATGGACTGGATGAAGAGGTAGAGACAATAGATATTGGTTTGAAAGCTTTTCCAATGTTCTGGCATATAATGGAGTTTCTTGAGAGAAACGGTGTCGTATGTTTTAACTGGTTTCTGGTATGATCACTGCTTTGAACAGTAGGTTCCCAATGGGAAATTACATTGGAACCAAGTAGCGTTAAATGTGTGACTTAGAAACAACACTGTCAAGGAATGCTATGGACAGCGGAAACATGCAAGAGGAGAATAGTTTTGTGGATGAGTCTCCGCGGGAATACTTTTTTTTTTTTTGAGAGGAGGAAAGCGGGGATGAAGATGTTGTGGAAGAGGACGCCAGGGAGGCAGAAGCTTGGTTTGGTGTAGAAGGCTTACAGCCATACATGTTTGAGCCCTTGCCTCGCAACGCTGCCAGTTCTGTTAGCTCTATGCCTGCCGAAGACACAGACGTCCATCCCCGTGAACACTGGGACGGAACTCAATGGTAAACTAAATTATTCTTATTTCTTATTTCAACTGTTGCGTATATTAGCTGCCACATATGAATCAAGATGCTATGACCAAAAAAATTTCATTGACGGCTGACCGTTGGGATATGATTGGCCAAATTTAGGTGTTCAGGCTGACGTATAACTAACTGGCCTGCATAAAATTCTCTAAATTTTAAACAATACGGTCTCCACTGTCATTACATGCATGCTTAAATTTAAGAGATTTCTCCTGTCAACAACAGATGCAAAACTGATAGCTGATCACCATTTTGGACAGGGACACTACCGTCTAAGGATCTTCCAGTTCATGTTAGGTGGGATCCGCTGTGCCACGGATTTCTCAGAGCAATCCACAGTAATCCTTTTTAATCAGAGGGCAGTCTGGGTTAAATGGTCGACACTTTGAGCTGTCTGTGTCCCATCAGGAAAAAGATCCAAAATGCACAAAACCTTATATACAGATAAGCACAGTGTAACTAAGCGATTTAAACCAGTACTCCCATTTTTGATAAGGCGAACAGTCAAAATCATGGTGGTGCCTTTCACATAGCAACAGAAACAATGGGAATATTCTTTAATTTATTAAAGGACATTTTATTTGATGTTTTTTGGGTTTTTTTTGTTGTTGTTTTTTTAATAATCAGCCAAAGTAAGGACAGGAAATTTTCTTTAGACTGTGAATGTTGCAGTTATTAGTATTTGTTTTCACACACTTATTAAGATGAATTGATAAAAGACAGGAACAAAATATATAACCACGCATCTAAGTTTGCAGGTATAATTTTTGAATCTGTGAAGAAGGGAGACATTATTTTTCAGGCAGAAATTTTCATTCCAGCCTATAGGAAAAAGGATGCATTACAAAAACTTAAAACAAAGATCAAACGTAAACTGCTACGTGATGGTGCATTTATCTGACAATTTTGCTCACCTTGTTTGGTACATCTGAGACCAGATGTTCTCAAACACAGCCCACACTTCCTGCGGAGAAACGTGAACCGATGCAGGCTGCTTATCTGCATCATCCTCATCCTTCATGACAACATCAGAGGCTGACAACTCTTGCTCCTGTGACCCTTTGCTCTATATTAAGAGAAAGTTTTAAAGTGAGGTTAAAGATGTTCAGTGAGGAATTTGAAATTTGTGTTCCACATATCAATTTCCATTCAGTTTGTAGCTTGAAACACATTTTAAAAATAATTAGAGATCCACAATATACCAACATTAATATTGGAATTGGCCAATATTAGTTTTTCTTAAAGCTACAGTGTGTAATTTTCAGCGACATCTAACGTCCAGACTGCAGACCTCAGCAACATGAACATCTCCCCCCCACCGCTTCTCCCCCCCAACAGTACGGCGAGCGTTACAGGACAAAATGTCTTCCACGACGTCCGCATCACCTACCTTCTCAAGTGAGGAGGTTTGTTTACATAGATAATTTTACATATGGTATTCTCAGGCATAATACTGCCATCTATTGTTCAGTACCATCTCAGTTCATCTCTCTCAACTTGCCGTAGTTACTTTCGAGCGTAATGGGTGATCACGCAATCGCTAGTTTGTTGGCTCTGCGCTGCCGTAAAGCAAAGATGTCTGCCTCCATGGCTGCGAGACCCGCTGCTATGTAATTATAAATAACGAATTCTAAGGCAACGCAAATATTAAGGTTAAGAGGCTGAGCTCATAGATTATGATAAATAACATAGTTATGTATAATATATTACATTTCTGACTGTATATCCATGTAATTATTACACACTGTAGCTTTTAGCATATTGGTATTTGGTTTGATAAGTAAAATTGAGCTGTTGGGATTATCAGAATTATGGTAGTATTTTTGCCCTTCGAAAAAGATAATTATATATTATACACCTAAAATTCAGATGTTTTTGTTGTTGTTTTAAACATAATTAATCTTATTTCATTGGCAAATTGACTAACCTGCTCAAAACAAACAGGTAAGAAGCATGACTTAATTTTTTTTCCCAAAACACCAACACCATCCTGCTGCTGTCATTTTGCACATCTCTGATGTTTCTGCTATTCTTAAATATCCATTACTGTTAAAATGTCCATAGCTGTACATTGGCTATTTATTCTCCAGGTGCATTTTTTTATAGTTAAAAAACTTTAAAGTACAGCAATTTATTTGTTTAACCCTTCACTATTGTGTTACTTTTATACACTTTTCTAAGGTCCACATTTGTGTGACCACTGTTGCTACAATCTTTTTGCTGCTGTTACAGCAGAATGTCACCTTTGTGGGACAATAAAAGGATTTTCAATTCTATTCTATTCTTATATTTTACAATTTAACTTAGAGTTGTATTCAAAGATATGTTAATAATAATAATAATTATCCTAATTGATCAACATTTTATATAATGAAAAGTAGATGTATAGCTCCTTTGACTAGTAAATAGTTTCTTTGATTGAGCAGAAACTAAGTAAGTAACTCAATTACTTTTTTGGAGGAGTAACTGGTAACCAGTAACTTTCGTTTTGCATACACTCTGTGTATACAAAATGGCAATAAACGTTGTCTAAATCTATGTCTAGCTACAATTAGTAACTTTTTTATGTCACATTTCCAACAATGATTACCGTGATTTATTCCCATGAAGTTTCTGTTTTTGTTTGAGGAGGGGGAGGGAAGGGGATCGGCCATGTGGTGTTTGGTCACGTTAAAGTGATTGTGATTCAGTTCAGGACTGTGGGGGGTTTCACTGAAGCAGAGGAGGAATGCCAGCACTGTGGTTGGTCTTTCATGGCATCCAGAGGGAAGGGAAATATATGACATCAATAAATGGTGTTCATAATTGCATTATTAATATCGGATGTTGATATTTCCCCAGATTTTTATCTCAGTGTGTCTCTAAAAATGATGTATTTTACAATTCTACTGTATAAACTTTCACACATCATTTAAACACATTTATACATGAGCAGACTTTTTTAACTGATCTAATATGGAAGTGTGACAATCAGTGCAATTCATTTTTTTTTTCTTTAAGCTTACCTGTATTTGTAGCTTATTCAAAATATTTTCAATCAAAGTGATAGCGTTAGGAACTAGCTTGGAACTTTTCCCAAACGCTTCCACGAGCTCCTTAGTTTCTTGCAGAAAGGCTAAAGGAGAGACAGTTTCACCTGGAAGGACACAGAAAAGGACAGCTGCTCATACAATGACTTCTACAAATTACAGACTGGACTGTTTTACTATATTGTAAGATTTCATAACCTGTTTGGTTTGTTTTTATTGATAAAAGAAAAACAAAAAGAAAAAAAAAACATCCTGGATCCGGTAGAGATTTTTACTCACGGCTGCGTTTAAAAACTTTCTACATGTTTGTGGCTTTAGCGGGTTCTTACAACTTGACAGTCAGAAATTATATACACTATATTGCCAAAAGTATTTGCTCACCTGCCTTGACTCACATATGAGCTTAAGTGACATCCCGTTCCTAATCCATAGGGTTCAATATGACGTCGGTCCACCCTTTGCAGCTAGAACAGCTTCAACTCTTCTGGGAAGGCTGTCCACAAGGTTTAGGAGTGTGTTTATGGGAATTTTTGACCATTCTTCCAGAAGCGCATTTGTGAGGTCGCACACTGATGTTGGACGAGAAGGCCTGGCTCTCAGTCTCCGCTCTAATTCATCCCAAAGGTGTTCTATCGGGTTGAGGTCAGGACTCTGTGCAGGCCAGTCAAGTTCATCCACACCAGACTCTGTCATCCATGTCTTTATGGACCTTGCTTTGTGCACTGGTGCACAGTCATGTTGGAAGAGGAAGGGGCCAGCTCCAAACTGTTCCCACAAAGTTGGGAGCATGGAATTGTCCAAAATGTCTTGGTATGCTGAAGCATTCAGAGTTCCTTTCACTGGAACTAAGGGGCCAAGCCCAGCTCCTGAAAAACAACCTCACACCATAATCCCCCCTCCACCAAACTTTACACTTGGCACAATGCAGTCAGACAAGTACCGTTCTCCTGGCAACCGCCAAACCCAGACCCGTCCATCAGATTGCCAGATGGAGAAGCGCGATTCGTCACTCCAGAGAACGCGTCTCCACTGCTCTAGAGTCCAGTGGCGGCGTGCTTTACACCACCGCATCCGACGCTTTGCATTGCACTTGGTGATGTATGGCTTGGATGCAGCTGCTCGACCATGGAAACCCATTCCATGAAGCTCTCTGCGCACTGTTCTTGAGCTAATCTGAAGGCCACATGAAGTTTGGAGGTCTGTAGTGATTGACTCTGCAGAAAGTTGGCGACCTCTTCGCACTATGCGCGTCAGCATCCGCTGACCCCGCTCCGTCAGTTTACGTGGCCTACCACTTCGTGGCTGAGTTGCTGTCGTTCCCAAACACTTCCATTTTCTTATAATACAGCTGACAGTTGACTGTGGAATATTTAGGAGCGAGGAAATTTCACGACTGGATTTGTTGCACAGGTGGCATCCTATCACAGTTCCACGCTGGAATTCACTGAGCTCCTGAGAGCGACCCATTCTTTCACAAATGTTTGTAAAAACAGTCTGCATGCCTAGGTGCTTGAATTTATACACCTGTGGCCATGGAAGTGATTGGAACACCTGATTCCAATAATTTGGATGGGTGAGCAAATACTTTTGGCAATATAGTGTATATCGTTGCTGTCGGACGGAAACCTCGTATGTCCAAAACCATAAAGTTTACAGGAAATTGTAAAAACAGAGACAGCGGAAGAGTCCAATGGAGTAACGAGATTAAGTCCCAACCTTTTTTCAACACTTTTAATTGGTTAATATTTTCCAAAACATACACTCACACGTGGGGACTGACCAATCGTATCAATTTATGAAGAAAAAAAAAGGCCAAAATGGGAGTTACAAGGTTTTTTCCCGACAGCGACGATATGCAAAATAAAAAATAAATAAAAATATAGAAGAAAATATAAGATTATTAATAACGTTACTGATAAAAATTATTAGAGATTAGAAATTTAATTTGGGGGATATTAAAGAGGTTCCATTGAAACTCCAGGAAAATAAAAAATAAATATTTAAAGTAAATTTAACACTTCCCACATGTCTAACACATCAACACTTTTAAATGAGCCGTTGAGCATACACCCTTGTCTCTATGCCACTTCAATATGATTTTCCTTTTTTTTTTATCATGTACAGCACTTTTAATTGTGTTGTCTATAAAATTTTGTTATAGAAAAAATTTGCCTTGTTATAATCATTTCTGATTTGAGTCACAAAAACATTCACCACCCCTCTTTGCACTACCTCTGATCTACACGACTCATTCTAAAGCATGTTTCAATATATTCATGAAGATTTATTGAAGTATTTTTTACCATTTTCTAACATTACAAACATAAAAATCAAACAGTAGAAAAAAGTAACAATAAATGCTATAAATAAAACCTGAAAATTCTATCTTGCATATTGCTTAAGTGATTTTCCTATATAGATAACAGTAGAACAACTGTCTTCAGAAGTCACTGTTAGTTAATAGAATCCAGCTTTTTAGTCTCAACAAAAATATCGTTGTTTCTATTAGAGAACAGTTTGGTTAGGTTATAAAAGAATATTCAAATTTTTCATTTCAGTCATCTGTGAGGAGCCTTTCCTAAACTTAGTGTGCTGCCTGCAGTACTTTTCCACCACCAGATTTGTTCCCACTCTCACTCACAGTTTATCCCTCCTTCCTCCTCCTCCTCATCCTCACCCTCCTCCTTGCTCTTCTCTCATATTCCTGGCCCAGTGCCAGGCTGTGCGGCGCTAAGAGACCATGTGTGCGACCCGGCCACAACTTTGAGCAAGGTCAAAATGATATAGCTGTTCCCTTCTATTGAGATTTTTGGTTAAGATGTAGCCGTTACCCTCCACCAGGACACGGGTTGAAATGAGATCTGAACAACAGATTGACTCATAAAAACACTGTAGGCGTGCAGCGTTATAAATGCATTCACAGTGACATCCGAGGCAGAATTGCTGCAGTGGGCTACTCAGCATCTTTCTGACACACATTGGAAGCTCTTACTTTAGCAGATGACCTAATTCTGGATGCAGAGCAGACAGCAGCATCCCCCTCCCTGCTGTAACTGGGGGATCACTTTGTATTTTTAGCACAGAGTAAAGAAATATATTTTCATAGATTTTTTAAATTTCTATGATAAAAAAAAACATATTTGTTTGAATAATTTCCCCTCAGCTTACGTGCCTGAAAACATAATGAAGCAAATGTCTCTCATTTAGCAGATTACAGTAAGACTGGTCTGTTTATTCCTTGTTGCTCATCTCCGGGGAAAAAGGCATCAAATGATGATATCAGACCCTCCATTTTCCCCAAAAATGTTTCCCCCGCCAAATTATAGCCGCAGGAGATTAACAAACTAAAAGAAATCAACAGGATGTACAAGGCAGAGATAAGGCTTAAAATAGAAATATAACACCAAAATGATTACACAACAGCTGCTCCTTTTTCCTTCCATACCTGAGCCAAAGAAGTTGATGAGGTTTGCAACGGTTTTAGACAACTTCCGTGGGACAATATGTCCAAAGACAGCAATCCAGTGCTTTTTAATACACTGCAGGACATCTTGAAGACTCCAGGGAGGTTTTCTGTGAACAATCTGCAAGATAAAAGCAATGTATTGAGATTTTAATTTACAGATGAGGATTAGGGCCACTTAAAAAAAAAAAAAAGTTAACTGATTTTTTTAATTTTACTTCAGTTTAACATGGGAAAAAAAAAAGTTTAACATGGGAAAAAAGTCAGAATTCTGACTTTTTTCTCAAAATTCTGACTTTAATCTCAGAATTCTGACTTTAATCTCAGAATTTTGGATCTTAATGTAGATGGGCACCGTAAGAAGGAAGAGATGTGGGAGCACTTAGCTTCACTGACAAAGATGTGAGTTGTTTGAGGTGGCCAGTGACACATTGTAGGAAAATGACGGAATTAGGCAACTTTTTACGTGCCAGAGGGTTCTCCTCATTAATGGAGGAGCAGAAGGTCATTAAAACAAGAGAGCTAGTCTCTAAAACAGACATGGCTATGGCTTGATGCTAATATGTTTGTTATCTGTCAGAATTCTGAGAAAAAAGTCAGAATTCTGAGATTAAAGTCAGAATTTCAAGAAAAAAAGTCAGAATTCTGAGATTAAAGTCAGAATTCTGTGAAAAAAGTCAGAATTCTGAGAAAAAAGTCAGAATTCTGAGATTAAAATCAGAATTATGAGATTAAAGTCAGAATTATGAGAAAAAAGTCAGAATTATAAGATTAAAGTCAGAATTCTGAGATGAAAGTCAGAATTCTGAGATTAAAGTCAGAATTCTGAGAAAAAAGTCAGAATTCTGACTTTTTCCATATTAAACTGAAATAAAATTTAAAAATCAGTTAACTTTTTTTTTTCCAGTTGCCCTAATCCTCTTCCGTATTTCTTCAGTAACACAGTCTAATGAAAAGAAAATGGAAGGTAAACATCCCTCTTAAATGGATATTGCTTTAACTTAGAATTTGCACTGCTATGACTGATCATGCATGTAGTAAAAGTATTTACTAATAGGTATTTAGTACTTCATGCTGGGGGGGTGGTCAAAATGCCCCACATTTCCAGGTTCAAAAAGCCAGATTTAAAATAGCAGATAAAAAAAAAATCTGCATGAATTTATGGATATTTCTACTTTGTTTCGGCTCAAAAAAGGCCTGAATAAGAAAAAAAAATGATAAATGAATATGAAAAAACACCCCAAATTAGAAAGAAATCAGAAGATATGTTGTATGTGTGTAGTTTTTACTAGGATAAAAATAACGCTTTTAGGCGACTAACTTATACAAAATAGAACATATGAAAATTCACAATAATTATCCCTTATGAACAAACCAATTCATACAATACAATACAGGCTGATATCTGCAGCATATCAGGAATATATAATAATATACAAACAACAGAGAGCTACATTTAAACTACATACAAATTTAGATGAAGCATCATTTATGGGAGAATTATTCAAGGTTTAACTTTACCTCCAGCCAGAGGTCTCCATAAGCCGCCTTCATTTCGTTTTCTAACACCTCAGACAGGACATCCCGCAGACAATCCTCTAGTTCACAGACATACACGCTAAGTTCCCATCCTGCCTCCGTTTTTATTGACGGGTCTAAGCCAGCAAATGGGAACACAAATAAAAAAATGCATAAAATTAAAATGAAACACATTTACACACACATTTAGAGAATTTAAACACAATTACACTTCTATATCTTCTGTTGCTGTGTGGAAAAAGAGTTGCTGCTGCTGTTTTTTTATTTATTTGTCAGTATTTCTTAGATGTAGCTGTTTATCATAGATAGAAAACACAGAAAAACAAGAAGGGAAAGAAATCCAGAAAATAGTAACGGGAGGTGAACACATTAAGTTCACAGGTCCTAATTTCCCACAAACATTTTTTTTCTGCCTCACCTTTCTCTTTGAAGGCTACAGAGACATTGTGGCTGTTCTGAACGGGAAGCTGGATTGGTGTGCAGATTGTGGCCGATGCTGGAGAGGAGACATGCTGAAAATGAGACCAAAGTGGAGACCGAAGGCTCCTGACCTCTGCCTCTAACTCGGCCTTGCTGAGAGCCTTCACACCGCTCAGCAGAGCTTTACTGGATAGGTTTTTATCGTTACTAGAAAGGAAAGAATGGATGTTTTAATTAGATGGTAGTTCAGTTTGAGCAAACAAATAACGGCTGCATGAGGAAAAACAAACAACTGCAGAAATGGGTCAAACAAACAAATGCGGGGGGGGGGAGTCCTGAGCTGAACTGTGATTTGCTCACTCATCACATCTATTCTATGGAAAAACGGTTTGGGAAGCTGGAACGATCTGGCACGGTCACGTGCGTTTTTAGCTGAAGACAGGCTCCACAGAGCAGCAGTAGGAAGCTGCACAAAGGAAAGGATGACTCACGTGCATAAGATGAGAGCACACTCTGGATACATATTCTGGTACTGCAGGCAGCACTGCAGCACTCTGTCATCATTGTTCTCCGTTTTCAGACCATCTGAGGATGAAAGGAAGGACATGGAGATGGTGACTCAGGGCAACAGTCTGACTTAACGATATCTTCCAGTATTAAAGCCATATTGTTGACACTAAACCAGGGAAACAACATAAGGGTGAATTTAAAATAAAAACAAAGAGGCTCAATGGAGATTCAGACGTTTTCAGACCGTTCTAGTGAACGGCCATTCATCTGAAAACATTTAAATTCATAATTATTTTTCTACATTATGGATAAATACATGAATGCACCCTGTCCTTGAATGTCAAAGCTTTTCTATATTTCAAAAGGAATTTCATGACAATTTGAGTGTCAGTGCCACCTAGTGGACAAGAGATCAACTAAGTGAGGCGTTTACCAAATGGGTTAAATCAGGGGTCTTCAACGTTTTCCAGGCCAAGGACCCCCAAACTGATGGTGAGATGGAGCGGGGACCCCCTAATTATATATTTATTGTATGAAATTGTGTTCTATCGAACTGGTCCTATAGTCACTCTATTACAGATGGAGTAATGTAGCAAAAGTAATTTCTCCCTGGGATTATTAAAGTATTTCTGATTGTGATTCCTGGTTGATGGGACAGGTGTTGTGAATGAAACGGTGCCCAGCTTGAAAGAGCTCCTGCGTGTCGCTGAATGTGTGCACTGATGACAGAAAGACATCTTCTGCCTCCATTTATCTGTTTACTACAGTGTGTTGAATTCATGTTAATGTGGATTTAAAGAAATTTCAATGAGTGGAAAAAATTGCAGGCAGGAATATAAATAAAATAAATAATCGACCAAAACTTTTGCGACCCCCATGCAGTACCCCTGTTGAAGACCTCCTTGTTATATAGTTGAGTTGGGCATATATCCAATTAATTTGAAGAGATTAACATAATTATGAAATTCATATAACTTTATTAATTATTAACTGTAAGAGACCAGCAAGTAACTTGAGCTGATATGTTTTCTGGGGAGTATTGGCGTAGTGCAAGGGTAACCAATTAAAAATCATTGGGCTTCGAATGAAGAAAATCATCAACCAGTAAAGGTTCGGAGACTTTTTTTATTATAATTTGTCACTTTAAACAGAATTTAACACGGAAATAAAATGAGGTTTATATGTATCCATGTTATACATTGAATTTTAAAATAAAAAAAATAAAGAACATTTTTCCATTTTATAATCTGAAGTTATTTTTAGTAGAGAAAAACAATCATTCACTTTAGTATCTATACAATTTCCTGAATCACATATTTTACAAAACACCTGAACTGACTTGTTTTTTGTTGTTTTTTATTATTATGTCTTAATGTTGGCAGTGGGCTTTAGGCTGCCCTGCAAGGCTTTAAACCTGGGTTTGAATGGAGACTAAGCCATTCTCAAGCACATATCAAGGACCTCATTTAGAGCCTGGATCCAGATTTATTTTTGATTCTGTTCATGGTGGAGAATCCTGCTTCACAGCAGCAGGTTGAGCCAAACATCCTCTAAATGTGCAGGGTCATCTTTGAGCACGCCATTTCACTTTTCTTTCACCAGTTCACCGCAGTTCTTCCAGCAGTCCACACTTTCTCTGCTCTCTTTTTCTCATGGTCTTCTCCTTCTTTCCCATCGCCCGGCTTGCCACAGGTTTGCCTGCTGTGTCTAAAAGTAGCAGCAGCAGCAACCCAGACTGACAGCACATTGGCTCATTTGGATCACGTGCAGCCTGGAGCCAGATGATCCAGAGGGCTGTACCGTATTTACAGGAGAAGCAGCGCAAGTGAAATTAGACACTGTGGTCGGGCAACATTCGGTAATTTGTAAATGTTTTAAATCAGGTTGGGTCTGGATTAGAGAGTTTATTTCCCCATTTTGGGCCCATGAAGGGATTTTTTTTCCTGCTCTGGCATATGATTGGAGACCTTATTCATACCTAAACGTTTTCAAACAATAGGCTCAACCCCAAACAATGAGTTGATTCTGACATTTGAAATCCTTATTTTTAAGCCAAATCTCTCTATATATAGACATTAAATATACACACCAAACATATTGTACAGAGGGACATAAATAACTCATGTTTAATCAGACTAAAGGTTTCATTTTAAAACATACTAGGATTAGCTACATTTACCTGAATAACCAAAGAGTGAATTTAAAGGGCAGATTATTTCATAAATGCATTTGTGAGACCCATCTGATACCAATCTTTAACTTTCTAACTCCTGCTTTGCACATTTCTCCATTATTTGCCATTAATGCCATCTACTCAATGAAGTCCAAAAGTCCAACCAGCAGCAAAACAGTCCCAACAGCATGATGCTGCCTCCCTCGTGCTTCATTAAAATGAGGACTTTTTTCAAGCTTTTGAGCCTTCACCACTTTTACTCAAAATGTAGTCTTAACTATTATAGGAAAATACTTCAAATGAACTTTCAGCAGACCACAGAACTCAACTCTAAAACTTAATTTGATGTCAGTGCTTGTTTTTGCAAACTGTGATTTACAATTTCTATGCTGCTTTCCTCTATCAGTGGCTTTTCAGCCAATGGTGGTAAAGGACGCGTTCCACTATAAATAAATTCATCATCTTTGAAAAAAATCTTGGTTTTTGTTTAGTAGCTGATCCCCAAATTTCTACCAAAACATCTACATCTAAGGGACACAGAGCTCCTCTGCCTGCCAGTCAGCGGGAGAGAGGAGCTGAATGAAGCAGTGATGTTAATACTTGGATATAACTATTTAAAAGATGCTGATGAAGATTCTCAGTCATCCAGGTCATAGTCATTCCGTAAAAGTAAAACAATCCACTGGACTTGGTTTCAAAGATTTGAAGACGTTTCGCCTTCCCTCCAGGAAGCTTTCTCAATTCAAATGTCTTCAAAACTTGGAAACCAAGTCCAGTGGATTGTTTTTTAAACTTTTACAGAAATATTTAAGAGATGAATATGAAGTCAGAACTCAACCAAAAGGGGAAAACTTGCAATAAATACTCCTACAATCACCTTAACTACTCTCCATGCATTTTGAATATTTATTGGGTTTAGTACCACTAGACCCCAACACGCATGTTCCTTCCCTGCACACATGCTTGCTTTTCATGAACCTGTAGATCCTCCCCACTTTCAATGCTCAGTTCTCCCTCAGTGGCTCCGCTCTGCTCGCATTAAAACTTTGTTTTGACTGACGGCATTGTGGCCTTGTTGCCAATCCCATGTGAGGAAAACAGACGGGGGACAGACACAACAGTCATGTGGAGTTTGCTTTCGTTTCTCTTATGTTTCTGTTTGCAGCGACTTCTTTGTTGTTTTTTTGTTAATGGGTAAATGGCCTGTACTTATAAGGCGCATTTTGAAGTTATGAGACTTGTCCAAAGCACTTTACACTGCTAGCTGAGATTTGCAAGCTAAATTGCAGGTTTAAAGGGCAAACAGTGCCGTCTGACGTCTTTGATTTTTTTTTCAGTGAGGTCTCAGGTTTCCCACTAATATCTACCCCCTCTTGTAGGTTAATGTCTTTGGGATTCTGAATATGTTGCTGTGTTTACAGATGATTATGGTTTGCACTTCAGGGCCACCGTAGGCTTCTGTTACTCTCAGTGATGGGACTAACGCCGTTGAAAGTAACGCCGTTACCTTGTTTTAGTAACGAGTAATCTAACTAATTACTTTGACTGTAACTATAACGCAGTTACCATTGCAAACACCCCGTTACTGCGCGTTACTCAGGTCGCACAATGAACCTTTTTTAATGATAGGACTCGTGCGCGACTTGTCATGAGAGAGGGGAGGATGAGAATGGCTGATGTGTAGTGAGATTCCGTCTGTCAGTTGGGTAGGTGGGTGTTTCTGCTGGTGGGTGTAAACGTACAGCACACACAGAGAGATGGAGAGTGAGGAGGACTCCAGCAGCAAAACAGCGTTTTCCAGATGGAAATACTGGTGTTATGTCGAGCTGCGTTTCCCCATCACATACGGTTTCCCCTGCATCTCCGCACAGCGCAGGCGGCACGATTCACCGTGCAAGCAACAGGAAACGCGCATGCTCGCTAAAGGCGCGCAACAGCTAGTTGCGTGCCTTTAACTAGTAACTATAACTAATTACTTTTTCAAAGTAACGTGCCAAACACTGGTTACTCTATTACTCCATTTATATTACCCTCTGAAAACCAAACCGTGCCGAGCTTGGATCAGTTAACCGTGCCGCGCTCGGTTCCTTACGGCCATTTACACACCACGCTAGCACGGTTCCTCGCCTCCTAGTGGCGATCTACGGTACTACTGCTCTCTAGAGGTAAACTGGCAAACCAACATGGCGGCGCCCCTAACATTCAGGAAGTTTGGTTATAATTTTGATATTTCGTTGTTTGCGGAGAATCAGACGAAGAAGGCAGCCTTTGGTGAATTTACTTGACAGAGTCGGCTTTTGGGAAGTAGATACGTCAAACTATCGTTTGTCGTATCCACTGTTGTTAAGGTTCATCACATTGCTAAGCAGAATCATCACTGGAAATCGTGTGGCACGATGGGGAAGCAAGTATTTTCATGAATGTCTGAAATTTCATGATGATGTCTGCTCATGCGCTCTTTGTTATCTGAGAACCGAGCCAGAACTGAACCGCCCCGAGTCCTACTGATGAACTGGTACCAGTTTAGCACAGTTCGATTGTGTCTGGCACAGTCCGGTTCAGTCTTGCGTGCTATTTACCCAACAGTTATCTCGGTTACCGTGCTCGGACCGATCTCTACATGGTTTTAAAAGGGTAGAGTAAACGGGGCTCAAGCTGTAATGAAGAAACAGTTAATGAATAAAGTGACATGATTTGTTGGGATTTATTTGGTTAAACAAACATTTTTCAAACATGAAATCAGTACTCACTGCTGATCTGAGTGGCCTGCTGCATGGACTGCCCCCACAGGTGGGGGTCCCGTTGTTTTAAAGAGTTGTAAATGAAAGTGATGGCAGGAGTTGCAAGGTGGGCCACAGACCCTGACAGACCTTTTCTATGTTTAAGGGAATCTAGCTCTTGGAGAACCACCCAGGGGATCAGGACCACAGGAAAACCTACCGCTAAGAGAGAACGGTAAAAAAACAGAGAGAAAACAGTTGTGAAATTACAGATCCTCACCTCCAGTGGTTGGTTTATCCTGATAAAGTATTAATAACACAATGACACACAGTCTAAATGACATTCAGGTACATCCATTCACTCAGGCTTGTTAAAACTAGCATAACTGAATGTGAGAATATATTTATTCTCCTGTTTTTATGAGAGGTCTCTCAGAAAAGTTTTAGTTTTTACACATTTGATACCTTCAAGGCCACAGCTTCGTATTTTCTTCACATAATCCAAGTGGCTGAGGAGAACGTTTGTGTCCAAAACAAGGATTAGGGTTTTCTGTTTAGGCTCCCTGCCTGTGAAGATAAGTTAGGAAAGTCGATGCCTTTCACAGAAACAAATCACAAAGTTTCTCTCATAGTGCAAAGCATACAAATACAAGCCTAAAACAAAACAAAGACAATAAAACAAGTCATTAAAAGCTCTAAAAATTGAGCCAATTCTATACATATATATATATATATATATATATATGTAAATATATACACATATACATATATATCAATGGCGTCTCCCCCATTGAGGAAAGGGAGGAAGATCCTCCCTAAAAAAATTGTCAGAACTTGCAGAAGATATTATAATAAAAACATAAAACGTATTAATTATATAATTGTTGGTATTTCATAGGTATTTAGTAGGTTGTTTGCGGTAAAATTCTATTTTAGCACTTCTAAATCGCTAAACGGTCCGCTGAGGACCGTCCTCCCTAACCCCCTCATTGACTCCCATTATAAATGCTCAAAACCTGGTCGTAGCGCGGGCTTCTCATTTTAACATTGGTCCTCCCTTTGGGCGGGTCAGCTCGAAATGCTAGCCTGTAATCAAGCGGCCAATCTGCAACGCTGCATTCGTCGATGTGCCCAATCAGAATGAAGAGGGTGGGCTGATCGGATGACAAAATTTCAGTGTCATGCAATTTTTCATTCATTCTCTAGAACGGACATCGACTTGTTGAATAGTGCCTTTGATTACTGTTGAAATCAATAAACGAAACAATGGAAGTAATTGATGTTGTTTTCAGGATGTTGAAAGGCAGGGTGAGCAGAGTCATACAGAGTTTTACAGATCTCTCTACGAAGCAGTGCACGACAGCATCATAGCGCAGCTCACCCAGCGCTTCCAGCAGCTCGATCGTCTACATTTTATGTTAGACTTTGAAAAATTCGACTCATTTAAGGCAGCATTCCCTATATACATATATATACATATATATACATATACACATATACATATATATACATATACACATATACATATATATACATATATATTAGGGATGGGACGATTTATGAAGACCGTTTGAACCGTTCGGTTCGACTGTCTCGGTTCGGTTCGCGTGTGTTTCGTTCGGTTCATGCGCTTCTCCTTTTTCTCATATAGGAAGCGATTACACTCCAGAGCAGAAGGTGGCGGTACTGCGACCAAAGCCAACCGCCAGTAGTAAACAAGAAGAAGAAGCGAAGCAGCTTAGCCGGGTGTAGCAGAAAAAAATCAGTTGTTGTGGAGAATTGTGTGGGTATGGCGAGTGGGAAAGAACAGGAGTTGGAAGACGCGCCAGCAGCACTTTATAGGTCTGCTGTATGGGACCACTTTGCATTTAGAGTGACCTACGATGACGGCGGAAAGAAAGTGGTGGATAAAAGTGCAACAGTGTGCAAGCATTGTGCAACACGTGTTGTTTATGCTAACAGCAACATGTCATGCTAACCCCGAAATCCCTCATACTCCGTCAGCAACCCCCGCTGCGCTCCAGACCGGCTGCTCAAAGCAAAGCCTACAGCCTCCACTGTGGCTCCCATCCGCTCCCCTCTGAGTCCCTTGGAGATGGTAGAGAGCATGCGCGAGATGATTAAATTCAAAGCAGCAAAACATACGGAAATTATCCAGGGTTTCTGCGGATCATTTAAAAATAATTACAATCCATTATTTTTGGGGGGATTTTTTCATTAGTTTCATAAATTTTTATGGGATTTCGGTGTAACAATCAACATGTATCGAATCGAACCGAAAACTGTGACCACGAAACCGTGAATCGAACCGAACCGTGGATTTTGTGAACCGTTCCACCCCTAATATATATACATATACACATATATACATATACACATATACATATATATATATAAAATGCATCAATAAAACTCACTGTGCCTCTCTGCTTGTCCTTCATCAGGAGCATCTATGTCCATGGCGGTGAGCTCACCGTAGCTCTGCATCACGTTTACCTCAAGCCTCTTCTCAGATCGAGCAAGATGGAGCTCCTGAGCCACTTGACCCTGAAGAAAAAAAATAACATAAAAAGTTTATAGACAGAAATTTTAAAAATGCCAAATTCACACTAACGTTAATATATCAGTCCTTTTTTTATTTTTACCTGGTCAAACGATTGCTCAAAGTTAGCTTCTTTTGCTGGTGAGTGGTCAGAAAGCTGATCAGACAGAGGAGATGTCTCTTTCTGTTCTTTATTCGGGGAATCAGAGGGACCAGCCAAATCTCTACAAGGTTGCTTAGTTGTCTTCTCATCTTTCTTCTCTACAACTCCAGAGCGTCCTTTATTATCCTTAAGTTTGAGTTTTTGGTTTGATGAAGCAGCGTTATTATTTCCATCAGAGCTTTGTGCAGGTCTAGCTTGAACCTTTCTTGGGATCCTGAATTTAAAAGGCACAAATTTTAGAGGATCTATGCGTTTCGGAGTGGATGCTGGCTGCTCTGCTGCAGGTGATGCTGATTTGTTTTTCTCAGGGGTTGAAGGGATGCTCCTCCACTTCTCTGGATATTTCTCTGAGGTAGAGGGTCTGGATGGAGCCTCAGACTTCACTGTGACAGGTTTTGCATCCATAGTGTTGTTCTTGTTAGACTGAGGAGTTTCACTTGAGTTTTGGACACGTTCCTCGCATCTTCGCTTGGGGAAATTCTTGTGGTCAGGAGAGGCACATTCTTTGTTACTAGCATTTGTACAGTCATCTAATGATTTAGAAGGTTCCCTTACCGAACCTCTTTTCCCGCCTAAATGCTGTCTGTTGTTTTCGTGTTCACTAGCTTGTAATTTGTGACTCCTTTTCTGTTTTGATTCGGAATAGCTGCCCTTAGAGCACCTTTCATCTGACTTGTCCTCCCATGTTTTCTCTGTTTTCTGATTTAGTGTAGCAGCACAGCTCGTCTTAACGGGCTTTGACTGTTCCTTTTCCACAGCTTTGATGTCCTGTGAGGTCCCCGCTGTACTGGAGCAACTTTCCTTTTGTGAATGCAGGGGTCCACTTTTTTTAAGTGGCTCTTTTTTATAAACTGGCTTTTTAATTTGGCGGGAGCTGTGGATGTCATCTCGATCCGACTTTTTCTCTTCCTTTGTGTGCCTGTAAATAGAGCAAGAGAAATAAATATAGTCAGAAATTACTTTTTCATTTTAAAATATTTGAAGTGTATTTAAGTTGTTTTTTAAGGCACCCAGACATATAAAGTCTAATACTATCTAAATGAATTTGTAACCCAAAATATATATCCTCTTAAGACTCCAGTGCAACTAGCTCACTAATAAAGTATGGAGGGAAATTTGTTCCTTTATTGTTGTTAGAAAAGAAGCAGCAAAAAAATTGCAATCTAGATAAAAGACTTTGAAAACCTCTTAACAAAAAAAGGTTTCAGGAGTAACTTTTTTTCTTTTTTTCACAATATTTTAAATTCAAATTGAGTTTTATGAACTCTAGTGATGGGTCAAGCAACACCAGTGTGCCGGCGTATGTGTCGAGCTCCAACAACTCTAAAATCTCTATTGGTCAAGAGCTAGCGTTTGTACTGTGCTTGTAGCGAAGAGAATGCGAGCTCTAAAATGCAATTTGACGCCATTTGTAAAACTTGACCTGTAAGAGAAATTTAAAATAAAATCAGAAAAATAAAATTTCAAAAAACCAAAAGTAATAAAAACATAAATAAATAAATAAAAAAATATCTGAAAAGACAGCAAAGTTCCCCTTATAATCCTTTTTTGATTAAGAAGTTTTACAAAGTTTCATTTGTGGATGGTATTTATTTTTGGCATAGAGCTCTTCAATTCTGGCTTCACACTTGTTTAATAAATAGAGGCAACCTAGAATATCTTGGTATGTTTTTTACACTTTGGTTTAGGACATTTTTTTTACCAAGTATTACAAGACAGGGAACATGATGCAACACATTTACAGCAAAACAACAAAATAGCTTAAAGGTCTAATAGGAGATCTTGGAAAAACGATTCCAGCAAGCTATATTTTTGAACATACACAACCATGCCTCTCCCTTCAGACCATCCCTCAAAACCCTGCCTTCAAAACAGATCAACAGTCTAGAGCAGCAGAAGCAGCACTGATATTGCAGAGTGCCATGATCACTCCACTGAAACAGTTTATTAACGCCTAAATTAACTTAAAATATTGAAATCTTTTGGCAAAATATTTTTGCTTTTATTATCCTGGTGCCTGCAGTTTGGATTACGTACATAAAAAAGGCCCTCCAGCCGCAGCAGCAAACCGCAAAGGCCTCTTTGCGACTGGGCCATAGGCTGTTGCGGAATGAGATTCCTAGTGACGGCGCAAAACCAGTGTACGGGGGTCTGAGCGGCTCCGACAGAAATAATAAAATGAATGAATGCAGCAGAATCGAGCCATGAGCTTCAGGGCTAGGGACAGAGCGACCAAACCCGACAAGGTGACATGAGCCTGGACCCCGCCGCCCCTTGATTCCCCCCACCTGTCTTGCTGGGCAGGTGTCAGGGTACATGCACAGGTGGGGAGGGACAAGCAGATGACCACAATTGACGTGTCAGGAACCAATCGTGTACAACGGAACGTCTTCTGTGATTGGTTGAGGTTATCAATTGATTTCTCACTGTAGCAGAGACCATTTATTTTAGTTTCACTTCCAGACCTTATATTTCACTGCTTGCCAAGCCGCTGTGGGGAGATCTTTAAGCCATGTGGTAAAAAAATGCATCAGAAAAGATCTCCTACTGTACCTTTAAGGAATCTTAATGTAATGATAGCTTTAGGTTAAAGTTGTAGTAAAAAGGCTGTTCCAACCGTTGCATTTCCGAATTCTCCCAAGTGGTCTACAACTTTGCACCAGTGAATAAAGTGAATGTGATTGGTCGTTTATCAAGGGGGCGGGATTGTTGTGGTGGACGGTTTGCAAGCAAGTTTGATTGTGGTCGGTGTCACAGAAGCATCTTGCTAACCAGTTAGCAACTTAGTGCTAGTAGGTTCTCAATGGGAAATTACATTCGGACCAAGTAGCACTAAATTGGTGACTTATAAACGACGCTGTCAAGGAACGCTGTGGACAGCGGAAACATGCAAGAGGAGAGTTTAGTGTCTGAGGTCGTGAATGAGTCTCCTCCGTCATCCATTTTTTTATTTAGAGGAGGAAAGCGGGGACGAAGATGTTGTGGAAGAGGACGCCAGGGCGGCAGAAGCTTGGTTTGGTGTAGAAGGCTTCCAGCCGTACATGTTTGAGCCCTTGCCTCGCAACGCTGCCAGTTCTGTTAGCTCTACGCCTGCCGAAGACACAGACGTCCATCCCCGTGAACACTGGGACGCAACTCAATGGGAAAGGAAAGGATTCTTATTTCTTATTTCAACCGTTGCGTATATAAGCTGCGACATATGAATCAAGATGCTATGACTGGAAAAATTTGACTGACAGATGACCGTTGATATATGATTGGCCGAATTTAGGTGTTCATGCTGACGTATAACTAACTGGCCTGCATAAGATAACGAAAACTAAGATTTTAGGACAGATTTTATATACATGTTTAGGCCAGAATGACTTTAAATTTAAATATGAATTCCCTATGACTTTAAGGCTTCGATGGAAACAAACATTTACCTTCTGTAATATTCCTGTTATAAAAATGTAAATACTTTTTAGTTACATAGGCAACTAGAGACATCTGATATTCGGGAAGCTGTTTTGAAGAATGAGCTCTGAAAACATGTGGGTCCATCAAACTGAAACAGTGTAGATCAGTGTTGATTAAGAAGTCATTATATATTTATAATTCTGTTGTACCTCTGATGATGCGCATGATCTTTTTTTCTTTTACGGCCTTTACTGCTGGGACCAATCTGCAGTTCATTATCATCATCTGGGCGGTTTGAATCCTGAAAACATACATTTTATTGTAAAAAAATGCTTTGGATGTTATTGTGCTTCAGGTTTATTAAGAAGTATCAAGCATCTTACTTTACTGTTTTAATACAAGCAGAAAAATTAAAGTTTTAGTTTTAAATAATGTATATCTCAACTGAATTCATGTAATGTTGACAATGATTGACTAAATATCGTTAGCAGATTAATATTTAAAGCAGCAAAAATACAAATAAATAGTCCTATTGAATATTCCTCACCTTTTCCCTTTCACTTGGCAGTTTTCGTTTTTTCTTTTCAGGTTTTCTTGACATTTTTACCTAAAAGTATAACAAAAATGTGCTGATGAAATATACTACAAACTGCTCAAAACATTTTTTTAAATAAAACACCCTTAGGCTTCACAGACCAAACATTTTAAAATGAAAACAAAATCATCAGAACTAATGCAAACTAAGTCCTTTGTGAGTTCTTTCTTATTTTACTCGAGGCTTAAAAAACAGAATAAATATTTTTTCCTTTTTAGTTGAATGTACACTATATTGCCAAAAGTATTTGCTCACCCATCCAAATTATTGGAATCAGGTGTTCCAATCACTTCCATGGCCACAGGTGTATAAATTCAAGCACCTAGGCATGCAGACTGTTTTTACAAACATTTGTGAAAGAATGGGTCGCTCTCAGGAGCTCAGTGAATTCCAGCGTGGAACTGTGATAGGATGCCACCTGTGCAACAAATCCAGTCGTGAAATTTCCTCGCTCCTAAATATTCCACAGTCAACTGTCAGCTGTATTATAAGAAAATGGAAGTGTTTGGGAACGACAGCAACTCAGCCACGAAGTGGTAGGCCACGTAAACTGACGGAGCGGGGTCAGCGGATGCTGACGCGCATAGTGCGAAGAGGTCGCCAACTTTCTGCAGAGTCAATCACTACAGACCTCCAAACTTCATGTGGCCTTCAGATTAGCTCAAGAACAGTGCGCAGAGAGCTTCATGGAATGGGTTTCCATGGTCGAGCAGCTGCATCCAAGCCATACATCACCAAGTGCAATGCAAAGCGTCGGATGCGGTGGTGTAAAGCACGCCGCCACTGGACTCTAGAGCAGTGGAGACGCGTTCTCTGGAGTGACGAATCGCGCTTCTCCATCTGGCAATCTGATGGACGGGTCTGGGTTTGGCGGTTGCCAGGAGAACGGTACTTGTCTGACTGCATTGTGCCAAGTGTAAAGTTTGGTGGAGGGGGGATTATGGTGTGAGGTTGTTTTTCAGGAGCTGGGCTTGGCCCCTTAGTTCCAGTGAAAGGAACTCTGAATGCTTCAGCATACCAAGACATTTTGGACAATTCCATGCTCCCAACTTTGTGGGAACAGTTTGGAGCTGGCCCCTTCCTCTTCCAACATGACTGTGCACCAGTGCACAAAGCAAGGTCCATAAAGACATGGATGACAGAGTCTGGTGTGGATGAACTTGACTGGCCTGCACAGAGTCCTGACCTCAACCCGATAGAACACCTTTGGGATGAATTAGAGCGGAGACTGAGAGCCAGGCCTTCTCGTCCAACATCAGTGTGCGACCTCACAAATGCGCTTCTGGAAGAATGGTCAAAAATTCCCATAAACACACTCCTAAACCTTGTGGACAGCCTTCCCAGAAGAGTTGAAGCTGTTCTAGCTGCAAAGGGTGGACCGACGTCATATTGAACCCTATGGATTAGGAACGGGATGTCACTTAAGCTCATATGTGAGTCAAGGCAGGTGAGCAAATACTTTTGGCAATATAGTGTAGTTGTTCAATACTTACAACGCGCAGTTACAAACTAGAAAAAATAGGCTTTAAACGGCGTCCTGGTTCGGGAGACACAGAACAGAAATTAAATGGACACAATGTGGTTTTTGCTGTCCGAAATGCCCGGGAATAATTACACATATGAACAACTGGTAGAAATAAATATAAACATTTCTGGAAAAAACCCAGAGGATTTACTTTAGTTAGCTTGTCTCCAAAACATCCGGTTTAACTTCTTCTGAAGATTTTCGGGCAGAGATGTTTATTGTGATACACAGTGCTGCCCCCTAGCGAGCAAAGAATTCTTCCTACTTTGCCTTTGCATACAGATACTACGTCAGCGCATCCGCCATATTGCAAGGGGCAAGTTCACTTGATAACTAATGCAGATACCGTTGGAATTAGAGTTAAAAACATAATTATAATACTGATCTTTGTATAATGGAAAAGACTATAATGCTATGATAAACTGTAACAGTCTGAGCAATGAGTAGTCAGTGTTGTTTAGATCCTGCAATAGGTAGTAATATGTGATGTGCTGTTAATAAAAATTGTCATCATGTAAAACAGGTGTGATTACTACAAAAAGATAAAACACACAATAACTTTTGCTTTTTGTAACTAATATGCAAACTTCTTTTTTAAACAAAAGCCAAAGAGAGTGAAGGTTGGGACACCACGGGATGGACTGGACTGAAGAAAAGTCCATCTTTTCTATGAGCAAATAGTTGTGTTTGCTTGTGCTTTACACATTTCTGTTTTTAAAATATTATCATAATTACTATTACTACTCATAATTACTATTATGATAATTTTTGATGTACCTTATTTTTGTGGCACCTCCCCTGGCATTTGGTGTCCTATATACACGCTGCATGTATGTATGTATGTATGTATGTATGTATGTATGTATGTATGTATGTATGTATGTATGTATGTATGTATGTATGTATGTATGTATGTATGTATGTATGTATGTATGTATGTATGTATGTATGTATGTATGTATGTATGTATGTATGTATGTATGTATGTATGTATGTATGTATGTATGTATGTATGTATGTATGTATGTATGTATACACGCATGCACGCATGCACGCATGCACGCATGCACGCATGCACGCATGCATACATACAAACATGAATAAATACATTCAGTACATACATGAATACACAGTATATGTGCATATATGAATGTATGTATGCATACATTCATACATACACTCACCGGCCTCTTTATTAGGTACACCTGTCCAACTGCTCTTTAACACTTAATTTCTAAGCAGCCAATCACATGGCGGCAACTCAGTGCATTTAGGCATGTAGACATGGTCAAGACAATCTCCTGCAGTTCAAAGCGAGCATCAGTATGGGGAAGAAAGGTGATTTGAGTGACTTTGAACGTGGCATGATTGTTGGTGCCAGAAGGGCTGGTCTGAGTATTTCAGAAACTGCTGACCTACTGGGATTTTCACGCACAACCATCTCTAGGGTTTACAGAGAATGGTCCGAAAAAGAAAAAACATCCAGTGAGCGGCAGTTCTGTGGGCGGAAATGCCTTGTTGATGCCAGAGGTCAGAGGAGAATGGCCAGACTGGTTCGAGCTGATAGAAGGGCAACAGTGACTCAAATAACGACCCGTTACAACCAAGGTGGGCAGAAGAGCATCTCTGAATGCACAGTACGTCGAACTTTGAGGCAGATGGGCTACAGCAGCAGAAGACCACACCGGGTGCTACTCCTTTCAGCTAAGAACAGGAAACTGAGGCTACAATTTGCACAAGCTCATCGAAATTGGACAATAGAAGATTGGAAAAACGTTGCCTGGTCTGATGAGTCTCGATTTCTGCTGCGACATTCGGATGGTAGGGTCAGAATTTGGCGTCTACAACATGAAAGCATGGATCCATCCTGCCTTGTATCAACGGTTCAGGCTGGTGGTGGTGGTGTCATGGTGTGGGGAATATTTTCTTGGCACTCTTTGGGCCCCTTGGTACCAATTGAGCCTCATTGCAACGCCACAGCCTACCTGAGTATTGTTGCTGACCATGTCCATCCCTTTATGACCACAATGTACCCAACTTCTGATGGCTACTTTCAGCAGGATAATGCGCCATGTCATAAAGCTGGAATCATCTCAGACTGGTTTCTTGAACATGACAATGAGTTCACTGTACTCAAATGGCCTCCACAGTCACCAGATCTCAATCCAATAGAGCATCTTTGGGATGTGGTGGAACGGGAGATTCGCATCATGGATGTGCAGCCGACAAATCTGCGGCAACTGTGTGATGCCATCATGTCAATATGGACCAAACTCCCTGAGGAATGCTTCCAGCACCTTGTTGAATCTATGCCACCAAGAACTGAGGCAGTTCTGAAGGCAAAAGGGGGTCCAACCCGTTACTAGCATGGGGTACCTAATAAAGTGGCCGGTGAGTGTATATGCATGCATACTCTGTATTTATGCATGTATATATGTATGCATGCATGTATATATGTATGCATATATGTATACATACACACATACTCTGTATGTATGCATGTATGTATGCATGTACAGTATGTATACATGTATGCATACATTCATACATATATGCATGCATACTCTGTATTTATGCATGTATATATGTATGCATATGTATACACACACACATACATGCATACATACTGTGCTTGTAGGTATGTATGTATGTATGTATGTATACATACTGTACATACAGTACATACATGAATACATTGTATGTATGCATATATGAATGTATGTATGCATACATTCATATATGCATACATACAATGTATTCATGTATGTACTGTTTGTACAGTATGTATACATACATACAAACATACAAACATACATACATGCTGTGCATGTATGTATGTTTGTAAAGGAGGAGTCGATAGGTGATGCCTTGAGATGACATGTGTTGTGAATTGGCGCAATATAAACAAACTGAATTGAATTAAGGTTTGTCACTCATGTTCAATATTCTTCTCTCTTACTGTACAATAACACATGCCTATTACTGTGTAGCCTGTGTAATTTTTTACTTATTTTATAAGGTCAGTACTACTAGTCAACTACTGTGTAGTCTTCCCTCAGCTCTCTACTGTGCAGATATTTTTATATCTAAGGGAAACATATTCAAGTGAATATTCAACATATTCACATTACAACTTTTTAAAGCTCTTTTGTACTATATACACTTTCTTTTTATATTGTCTGTTGTATTTTTATCTTTAATGGCAGATTGCATTAACTCTGCCCTTTGTACTCTATAGAAGCTACTGGGACCAGTATTTCCCTGAAGGATTAATCCCAAGGGATAAATAAAGTTGAGCATTTGTCTAAGTCTATGCATGTAGGTAAATGTATGTAATGATTAAACGTTTGGACAGACCTTTTTTTATTCAGTGCTTTTCTTTGCTTATCACCTCCACACAATTTTTTGATGTACAGAGAGAAAATATCACAATTAGACAGGAGTCAGAGATTAAATTCAATCATTTATTTATCAATAGATATATCAAGAGACAGACTGGACAAAAACCTACCTCTTCTTCTATCCTTCAGGGGCAGTCTGAAGGCCTTTTCTATCCACCCTTTAATCTGCCTTTGCATTACACATTTTAACAGAGCCAGAACGTCCCTCTAACCGAAACTTCCTTATCTATCATGAAACATCCTGGCACCATAAAGGGAATGTGTTTTTCTCTGCTTCTGCAGCTCAAGCCGGTTTGGACTAGATCAGTACACCCTATTATCTTCAAGGCCAAATCTGTCTCTCAAGTTAATAGCAGTTCTGTGCAGTTCTCAACAAAAAACACATATTTCAGTAATTCTCCTTCATAATGATACATTTTAAAAACCTATGAGACTATACAAAATACAACTGTGACTAAATCTTTGTGGCTCCTCATCATAAGTTGATGCATTTATTTTATATTGTAAGCTAATGCAATTTTTGGCTTACAAACATATAAATATGAGGCAAAACCTATTGAATTGGCAAACAAAAAATGAAATAAGTCAAATCATGAGTGTCTGTAGCCTATCCTGGTTTTGCACTGAGTTGCTGCAACATTCTTTTTTTTTTCTTTACGAAATCCTACATTTCCATCTGTTTGCTTTTTGCCATCAATACTGCAAACAAGGCAAACTTTCTCACAGCAACCTTGAGAACTGAATTATTTTTTTCACAATCTAATGGAATGTGACGGTGAATTTTACCTCATTACCCAGAGGCAGATAACAGTGTCTGCTGCACATGGTATCATGAATTTGGTACAAAATATACAACAGCACCTGCTAATCCTCCCTGTTATGTTCAACATGACACAAGGTCAAACATTTGTTGAGGAATATGCTGGTGAAGATTCTCGGGTAACCAGGTTATAGTTATTCCAAAAAAAAAAAATTTAAAACAATCCACTGGACTTTGTTTCCAGGTTTGAGGACGTTTGGCTTCCTATCCAGGAAGCTTTTTCAATTCAAAATGCCAGGAATAGCTTTGAGTTCGAGGTTTTATACATTAGCCCATTAAAACCTTGTTTTTATCTTAAAAACATTCAGATTGAAACAGAGGAAAGGGGTCCACCCCTTTGGAATGGGGGTCATTTGGCTTCAGTTGTTAGACTGCAGTGTCCCATACCCATACAGAGGGGATGGACTCAGATTTCAGCTTTCAAAAACCAAGCAAAGCCCCAGCACCTGCACAGGGGAGCGGGGGACCTCACCTATTTAGCCAGGTCAACAATTGAATTGCAGTCTAGGAAAAGAAGCCAAATGACCCCCATTCCAAAGGGGTGGACCCTTTCGTCCGTTTCAATTTGCATGTTTTCAAAACAAAAACAAGGCTTTGATGGGCTACTGTATAAAAGCTCGAACCCCAACGCTATTCCTAAAATTTTGAATTAAAAAAGCTTCCTGGAGGGGAAGCCAAACGTCTTCAAACTTGGAAACAAAGTCCAGTGGATTGTTTTTAACTTTACATTTTTTAATTTGTTGAGGATTTCTTTTTTAGTTTAATTTTGCATAGAAAACAGACTAGTCCTGATTGTTAGGAATCCAGTTTGTGTGGGTTGTGTTTTTGTGTGTTCTCCCTCCACCACCAGGTGGCGCCTGGTTCTCGTTGGCCCTCTCACACACCTGTGGATGGTTGCCTCATTACCTGAGGACGTTTAAGCTGCTGACTGCCACTACCTCGACGCCAGAGTGTTTGCCAGTTTTGGGTTCTCTAGCCAAA